CAAAGTTATGCAAACAGAACAGTGTGCTGCATTGTGAACTCTAAGTCACAGGGGAAATCAAGATGTGAAAAATGAAATGGGAATTGGGTTTACAGCATGGGCTCTGCAGCTGCTGCATTATGCAGGGCCTTTATCGAGGAGGCCATAAATATCTTGGGAAGACTTACAAAGTAGCTGTAGAGTTTTGTTTTATTTACAATTTTTAAATAAGTCTAAGTGCAATGTTCAACTATTCTGCTCATGCCTTATTTAACAGTTTTTTTTTTTTTAAAGGTACAACAGGTAAATACTGATGTATGAGCACACCTAGTTTCAGTTGATGAACCCATACAAATGAATGTTTTACAGTATTATACACTGATTTTTATCATAAATATTATGTACAAGTCATAATTTGTAATATAAAAATGATTGAGAAAGAAATGAATTCAATATTTTGCAGTAATGACTGACATACGTGCCTCAAAACCCTGGATCACTGCTGCCATCAAAGGTTTGCTCCACTTACTGCTTGTTTTTCCTAAACATTTAAGAAGAGTAAAGTAGGGTAAATAAAACTCCACACTCAATACTCGAGCAGACTGAATGCTGACAAAGCGCTGCAAAGCCCATCCAAGTTTCAGATAGTAGGACCAATGCCAGATTAGGTGGAAAATCTTCTGTTTTGTGGTGTATCATAAAAGAACGATTGTGTAGTTCAGCGTGTTTCAGCTATATGTGATGATGAAATTGGGAAAGAGGCTTATTTGAGGAAAAGTGCAACGAACTTTAATGCAGAATTCAGTGCAAAACTCCACTAATATACAGATGGTCAAGAACAGACAGGAAGCCTATCTCTGTGCATGATTAAAACACATAACGGTTTATCAGTAACCCATTATAAGAAGAATTTGAATTTGAATTTGGTAAAAAAAAGCATTTCCTCTATAGCGATGTGAAGTTCACACATCTCATGCACTTGGTCTCTCTTGAGGTTGAAAGCTCACAGGACGACAATATGTTTTTGGCCAGTGCAAGAGTTCCTCAGTAGCTTTTTGCTACATGCTGTCGTTTTGCAGGACACTAATGAGTGTCCATCTGTTATTGTGTAACCACTTCAAATACGGCATTCCAGAGAATAGGTCATTGCATTTTCCCGTAGCTGAGAGCTCAGTCATTACGTTAATTAGGTCTGGCAGTATGATGCCTGCATGTGTGAAACGGCCGTGTTTGCAAGTCCAGCTCACAATAAGCTTCCCGGCTACTTGAGTCTCCCACAGAGACTCTGTGAGACTGCAGTATACATATTAACTTTATAGTTAGTTACTTAGCAACTAGTTCACATTTTGCATGATTTACACACTCCACTAACTGTTTCTACTGAGTCCAAGTTGATTTCTTTTAGCTGCATTTCCTGCTTCATCTGTCTCCACTGTGTCACCTGTCTTTGCTACATCATCCTATGCCTTGCTGCCCGTAGTAGTGACACTTTTAAACGTGGTTAGAGGAAAGTAAGACTTGATTGTACAACATATACCAGTAGCCTTCCAGTCATACTTGCTAATGCTATTGCCTTTGTGAAGCGCTATGAGATGACTGTTGTTGTAAATATGCGCTACACAAATAAAATTGAATTGAATTGAATTGTGCTGATATTCCTATGACAGCAATGTGGGAAACGTTGGCATACACTTTGCCAGTTGTATGCTTAGCTACTGCTCTATAGTACTTCTACTTTGACCACTGCCATGATTTAAAAAAAAAAAAAAAAACACACATTTATTGTGCAGTTGCAGCAGTCGCAATTTTGGTGAAATTGGTTTCCAATGGAACCAATCAGCCACAGTCTGGAGCCATGTGACAGTTTCAAGAATATTGAATTTACGCATGCCATAGTATATAAGATATAAAACATAGTATGTATTGTGGAATTGGCATGGAGACAACATCTGAAGTAGCTTTAATCTTCAGCTGTTAGTTTCAGAGGCCGCACACTCATAAAATTTAATGCAACCAATCTGTTGTTTAATGAAAAGATATGAGGACACAGTACCCGCAAGGATGAAGAGAGCACACTAATGTCCAATTTAAAATGTAGCCTAATTTCTGTCTCTGTAATTGATTCTCTCTACGATGAATGAGATATTAAGTTGAAACACCCACACCGATGGTTGTTAGCGTTGATACATATTGAAAAGCTTATCAAGTTGAGCTCATTCACTAATGAGTGCCCATCTGTTATTGTGTAAGCACTTCCAATACGGCATTCCAGAGGATAGGTCATTGCATTTTTCTGCGATCGAGAGCTCAGTCATTACATTAATTAGGTCTGACAGTATGATGCCTGCATGTGTGAAACAGCCGTATTTGTAAATTCTACTCACTATAAGCCTCCCCGCTACTTTGTGTCTCCCACAGAGACCCTGTTAGGCTCAATGAATTTTCCTGCAACAGTTGTCTTAACCTCTTACATTTCTATTATCTGGTCTAAGACTTAATGCAGATGGGGATAGAGCCTCCTTCGCTCAGTGTATTTTATATGATGTAATATAAGCAAAAAGATCTATGCATTACTTTCCACTGCCAACCACATTTGCTGGTTGAGTCACACTTCTGACTTTTTGTAGTTAAATACATTAAGCAACAGCAGACTGTTTGAAATGATGTTTTCATTTTACAGTTACAGTAACATTGTCTTAGAAGAGAAGAAACCTATGTCGAAAAATAATTGTTATTCCTTTTGCGAACATGTTGTTTGTCATCCAGCACTACGAGCACTAAAATTCCTGACACCTCCTGACCAAAGAAAATAACAGAAAAGACTAAGTGTAGACCATTTCAGATATTCCTTACAAATAAGCATGACTCTGTGTGTGTTTTGTGTCCAAGCTGGCGGACTCATCTCAGGGGCCATAAAGCAAACACTCACTGATGGGGATGTAAGAGCTGCATATGAGGTGAGATACACATTACTAACTCAATTTGAGAGTGTCTATACTCTGGGGCCAGTTGGCAGCCATGCCAGCAGCTTGGCCAGCCTTTGGCTTCTTCTTTGTTGTTGATGTCTGCCTGGCAAGCGCTGCGACTGCAATTCATTATGCCTTGGAGTTGACAACACTTAGAACCTGTGATTAATGTATTTGCAACCTTTTGCTTGGGATAGTTGGAAATTCTTGCCAGTTTATCAACTTTGCTTCTTCACAGGCACAAACTTGTCTGTTTTTGGGGCAAATGAAAAAAGACCAGAGAGGAAAAGCAGGAGCAGAATCAATAGCATGGTACACCATGGCCTAAATGTATACCAGGAGTTTGCTTTTAAGTTGTCAGCAGTTTGCAACCAGCCGGCCAGTTTAACTGGAGCTGCATTAAAACTTTCGTCTGCCAGATCACAAGTAGTATTTACAAGATTTTTTTATTTATTTTTATTTTTTTTAATGTGTAGATAGAAAAATGTTGTATAACAATATGACATATCATGATGTTCATATGCAGAGGTTTTGTTTTTGAAATGTTTTCATGATGTTAGTTTGGCTACTAGCTTTGCTGGAATTAGTTTTTCTTCATATCTGACATATTCAATCCTTTTCCAAATCTTTTCTAGATAGAAAAACACATATTGAGTCAGACCATTTGGGTCATGGCCATTTAGGCTTTAAAAAAACACAACAGTTTATATATACAGGTCAGCATTTACACCCTCAATTAATCTTGGAACAGTGACAGAGGAAACTGTCCACCTTTTACGCACAGCAGCCTTCACCTAAACACTATGTGCCGTTTTTCTGCACTGAGTTGTGCTTTTAAGACACCCACTGTAAGGCACATTCAAACTGAAATCCCAGAATAACCCGAGTCCACGTCAAATCTATACTCTGATCTAAATATGATAACAGCACGAGTTTCTAGTCATGTGTGGCTGAACTGTCAGATCTGTTTATTTTTGCTTCTTTGCTCCAACATGCAAGTGTGCTCTTATGAGATAACTGCTGTCTGTGTCCTTTGGGAGGACATGAATTGTAATATGGCTGACCTTCAGCAAAAACATTTGTGGGTCTCACTGAACAAAACATAATTATGCTGTTATTTACCTGGGAATGAATGGCTACTGACAAGTGTTTTAGATAGTCTATGTAGCCTACTAAACTGAATGACAGATTTGAACAGTTTCAATGCTTCCCACATTAGAATCCAGTTGCCTTGACTGCTGAACCTAATCACCTCCATGTAAGAAGATATAATTCTCAGCATAATACTTCTAAAAGGACACGGTGACCCCCTTTTTCTTGTTTCGTTCCTCAGATAAGCATGCACACATTGAGACTGCCTCGCAAACCCACCAAAACTTCCATCCTGTTATCTAACTCAGCCCTCCAGGCTAAATCACAGTGGTAGACGAAGTGTGTAGTATGAGCCTAAAATGCACATGGATAGAGCAGTAAACTCAGGGACAGAAAAGGGTTTGTTTTTTATTATTGTAGGTAAAAGCTCAAGAATTGAGAATATTGCTGAGTTACAATGTCCACCAAATGGCAAGTATTACATAAATGAGTATCAAACAAATAGAGGCGTCAAATTGATCAATTTAAATAACACACACACACACAGGACAGAGTTCAGGGTTTTTATGGTTACACTCACATGTGTAAGAAATACAAGTTAAATTTTGATTTTCAGTTGTTTGATTTCTTTGTCCATCACTGCATTTTGGCTTGGTGTCTTTGGAAATGAATTAAATTCATAAACAAAGCATCCTTGTAGTTTTCCCTTTCAAATAAGTGCTATTGTCTCATGTTACACACTCGGTCTCACACATTATAGGCTATGGGGGTGGAGGAAGAAAGAGACAAAATTAGAACAACAGAGAGGGAGGGGGGTTTCCTCTCCTACAGGGAAAACATAAATAGACTGGAGAAGTGTTATGGCAATGGATTTGCCATAATACTGTTGAATGTTGCATTCAGATACGCTTTATTTGGGTCAAGCACACACAGAGAAAATGGCTCATAGATGTTGTTACTTACCATTTGGAAGCTTGTGGCTGTTCTCCATCAGCCAGGCGAACAGGTTGGCAAAGTTGCAGTTGCACACCCAAGGGTTGCCCTCTAGTCTCACCACCCGCAGGGAGGGCAACTGACTCAGTGCCCCCACCTTTAGGGTAGACAGCGCATTACGCTCCAGTTCGAGTTCTCTCAGGGAGGTGAGGCCCAGGAAAGCATCCTCGCTCACCATGCTCAGATATGGATTGTTTCCCAGTCTTAATTTGATCAAGCTCCGGGACTCCCCAAAAGTCCCCTTGGGGATTTCAGTCAGATTGTTGCTGCCCAGGTCCAGGAAGACCAGCCTGGAAGATGTGCTAAGGGTCCCAGGTTCTATGTGGGAGAGGGAGTTGTTCCGGAGATCCAGGTAGACCAAGTCACTGTACAGAACCAGGAAGTCCGAGGGGATGCGGGGTATCCAGTTGTCGGCCAGCAAAAGCCTGCGCACATCCAAGGGGATCTCATCGGGTAGACGGGTGAGCCCACGGCCGCTGCAGTCCACAGTGTGAGGATCTGGGCACAAGCAGGTTGCTGGGCAGTTTTCCCCCCGGGTCCATAAGACAGAGGACAGCAAGATGAGGATAAGTTGAAGCCAGCAGACACATGGCAACATGGTCAAGGGGGTGAAATGAGTGAGGGGAGAAAGAGGCTTGGGGTGAGGACAAACAGGAGTGGGTGGGTGGGGGTTGAGAACACAAGGGTGAGGGTCAGAGGGCAGGAGATCGGGACAAGGGAGGGGAAGGGGTGAGTGAAGGGGGTGAGAGGGGATCAGTCCTCCTGAAGGAACATCCTAGCGTTATGGAGATATCTGGAAGGGCTCAGGTACTGTGAGACGGTGGAGCAGCAGCGAAAACTGTTTTCCAAGAGATCATGTAGCAAGCAGCCTAGATAGAATTGCAGCCCGCCTGCTTTGAATGAGCACAGAGAGGGAGCTAGTAAGCAGGAGGTAGCGGGAGAGCAAGCAAGACCGAGCTCAACAGAGAGGGGAGGGTAGCTTAAGAGAGGTAAATAGACACGAGCGAGCCGGGAGTGAAGAGAAGTCGGGGGCACAGACAAGGGAGAGGGGGGTTGAGGAGGAGGCTCTGTCCGCCACACTACCCCACAGTTGGTCTGGCGGCAGTGACAGACAAAGACAATAAGGTCTCTGACACAAAAGGATATATGAAGCTGTGATTCAAGCATGACAAGCAAAGATTAACATCGTTGCATCCCTCCATTAGTCCCAGGTCTCTGTGTAGAAAAGCCTGCTGGTCTGAAAAGAGAGAGAGAGAAGCTCACGGAACATCGCTCAAGTGTGTGGTAAGGTTGTCCCCCTCCCCACCTTATTATTCCCTCTCTATCTCCCAATGCCCTGCAGCATGCTGTGGAAACACAGCACAGCTCAATGTTACGCTGTCCAGCACCGTATCAAAGCTGTGTGGGAGAGAATCCAAATGTCCAGGCAGGAGCCTCGTGGATGCAGATTGTAGTGCTGAGCTGCACACAGCCATGCCAATCCAATGTCTGCCTCTGAATCTACCACCGTTTATCTCATGCCCTCTCCCCTCTCCTTATTTCCAGGGGTGGGCGTGCCTGAACCATGCTGTCAACATGTGATGTCACTTCCTATAGTGGGAAGAAGTGATGATTGGTTGTATAAAAAAATAAAATCTAAAATAAAAAAGATGTGTCTATTTGAATGTGTATTCAGCTATTTGTCCTTAAACAATGTATTAACAAATACTGAGAGAAATTAAATTAAATATATTTTCATTTTTTCCTCCCACTTTGTCATCTGTTTTGTAATCATTTGTGATTAATGTTATTGCTGCGACATTGGTCCGACAGTTTTATAAACACATCTTTGGTGAGTGTTTATTGTCTATAAATAGAAAATTATGACCTTTTAAAATATAGAAAACTTGCATTAGCACAGTTTTAGTGTAAGATTAAAATGCAATAGAAGATCATATGTCCTCTTGAAAAATAATCTGATTCATTTATTTGCTTTTCCATTTGTGTACGTTTATGCCTTCAGTATTTTGGAAACTAACAAGAGTGCCATGAGTTTCAATCCATAATGGAGAGAGGAGCATTCATTTAGAATGTGTATTGAATTGCTCAAATGGGATTTTCTCCAACAGGTAAATGTAATTAGATCAAAGTTGTTGCAGGGGATGGCAAATTAGACCTGAGGAGATGAGGGTAGCGTGAAATTTCTCAGAAAGTGGTGTTGTCATGCATGGTAATTGTGTTTTTTTCCAAGAAGATAACATATTTACGATGCAATTTTAATACAATAATAGGTTTGCACTCAAGCTGGCATGGGTGGATGAGATTGAACATACACACACCTGCAACTCACAGCAAACCGGCAGTGGGCAGTAACATTTAACTCCTCCTTCATCACATTTTCATTCTAATAATACCAACCCGTGTTCGGTGAAGTCAGAGACTGCAGCATCATAGCAGTGACTTGGTGTCACAGAGACGAGAGAAGCTCTGTCATCGAAAAAAGCTGAGGCAGCTTCAATTGTTCTGTGCAAGCACATTTCAAGTTTATATCTCACTGTGATAATTCTATTTTGTGGCACTGCTGTTTTTGCACATAATGGTTACATATTTATTTGAACTCAGAATTTGATCTTTTCTCTAAAAAAAAGAAAGTTCTCTTAATGCAGTTTCTTACAGTGAAATGCAGTGATACAACTGATCTCCAGAGAATTATTTATAATGTGAAAACTTCCTACTGAATAGAAGGAAATAAGAAAATTCAGTCGTTTTTGGCCACAACAGAGAAGATGTTAGTGTATTTATATGGATGTCTTTAAAAATGTATATACGAGGGCACATACTATATATATATATCCCAGCCTATCCCAGCTGACTTAGGGTGAAGGCAGGGGACACCCTGGACAGGTCACCAGTCTATCACAGAGCTACACTTAGAGACAGACAACCAATCACACTCATATTCACACCTATGGACAATTTAGAATCACCAATTAACCTCAACATGTTTTTGGACCTTGTGAGAGGAAGCCGGAGAACCTGGAGAGAACCCATGCTGCACAGGGAGAACATGCAAAGATCCTGGGTGTCCTCACCGGGACGCGAACCAAAGGTGCTAACCACTGCGCCACCTTGCAGCCCTATATAAAAAATATATATACTTTTTTTTTTTTTTTTTCCTTTGGTATGCAATACAACATGACACACGTGTCTGCAGTTACTGCCGTTGGTTGTCATACAATGACAGCTGATCATCCTTCATAATCTCTTTGCTTTTTTCTTCAGTTGATCTCATGAATGTGTTGTGTAACTCTCTTGTAGTACCACACCTGTCCACCAGCCGTCACTGAGTTTCCTGTGTCACCTTATCAGCTTACCCACTCATACCCAAAGCTGCTTCTCATGTGCCCTCATGAGCTAGTCACATGTGGAAATGAAATACTCTTCCTACATCAGTGCAGCTAATAATAACTTTTACTACATATGATGAAAAGTAGGCAAAACCACTGTAAAATACATAACTACTATGCAGATCAGTCCTGAATAAAATAAAGAACACCAAGGTGAGCTTGTGGTATGCACTGCTTTAAAAATTTGTTCATGTCGTGATGCCATCGCACATCTTGCTAAATGACTAATGCTTGAACTCATATTAGTCATTCAGTTGTAGTAGAGGTTTGTTTTTCTTCATTTTCGTTGGATTTTCTCATAGCTACAAGGACACAACTGCAGGAAGAGCTTTTCTTGGAGACAAAAGGCCCATATTAAAGACGAGAAGACATTTGCACTGCCCTATGTCTGTCAGCTGATTAATTGCAAAGCAGCTCGGTTGAAATGGACTTTGAGATACTTAAAAGGGAGATGACTCACATTGAAATGCAACTAGAGCGCTGCCACTGGCGGCTGTAATGGCCACTCCGTTGCTGAGGGCAGTCATGCAGATGTCCAATCCCCAAACGCCATCGCCACAGTCTCTTGACAGCAATTTGTCAGTGTAAAAAGCCCTGAAAACATTTGTATGGGGGTAGTAGACCTTCAAGTCTACTGGCTATCTTGTCATCCATTCATATTAGCGCTGCATTCACAAATAGCATAGGATAAGTTTAGCTATAATAAATTCCACGTCGACAACTTTTTCTTTTCTTTTAAACCTTGTATATTCTTAATTTTGATCTTTTAACCTACATTTCACTGAAAAGCATATAAACAAGACAAAATAAAAGACCTAGATGTTTGATTATTTGTAAAGGCATAAATTGAATTTCCCTTCTGGGATAAATAAAGTATTTTTCATTTCATAATTAGTTTGTTAGATGAACACTGACAGGTCTCTATTGCAGCATTTGCGTTTTCCAATTGAAGAGCTTCTCATGCCTTTTTAAACTCTACAGATAAAAGTTTAGGGAATGTTTTTTCCTAACAAGGTATTACAAGCTGTGACTCCAGAAGACAAGCCTTGTTTCCATTGACCGTCTGCCCCAGGTTTCATTGCTATTCAGTGCAGCTTTGTTATTGGTGTTAGTTTTAAAAGTTTGCGTCTGGACAACTTGAATGCTGCATTAATAAGTAGCTCACCTGATAGTGTATACATTATCTGTCATCTGGGTGAAGACAATGCAAAACCTGGTCTCAAAAGCGGCTGCTTGGTATGCCCTACCATATACTCCAACCTTCTATGACATTGCTCAGTGCTGTAAACTTTTATTCAAAGCAATAAAGACTTTAGCTTCCCACCTTGGCACCACATAAACATATTTCCTTATCTGCCTAAACAAACATTTGTAGTCATTGGTCTTGAGAATATAGTCTTAAATACATTATATGGTTTCAAATATATTCAATACTAATTAGTAATGTCTAATGCTTAAATTGGTTTAAAAAAAGAAAAAAAAGAATTTAACAACGTCATTTAAAATTCTGTATGGCGTTTGCAATTGCTGTTGCTTTGAGCTTCTTTTTGCTTATCTGCATCTATGAGACCATTCTTTGGTTAAAAGCAAGCATTTTTTGAAATACCTGGCAGGAAATTCAAAGTAAAATTTTGCATTGCATTCACTGGTCCATATCACCATGTGGCTGATGCAGAAGTAAACAAAGATCTTCTAATCAAATTCATTTGTCAGGACTGTAAATCTCTGCTACAGAGCTTCAGGACAAATCAAGACTACTCTGACAGCAATGTCACCCAACATATTATCGTGAAGTGCATTTGAAACATATCTATCCGTGTTTTACAAGTAGAGTGTTGCTCTTTAGCCTCCAGGAAGACTGAAAATTCCTTGTTTTCCTTCACTTTGTTCTCCTCTAACCTTGAAAATCCGCCGAAAACAATTTCATATTGAGCGTCCACAAGAGGAATGGACAGAGAAGTGCCTTCTCAACAGCTGCTTGCACAAATTGATTTTCTAGTCTTTGCAGCAATGACACGTAACCAAGGTGTTAAAAGTAGTGCACATGGAACATGAGGGGGGGAACGAGCCAGTACTTGAGGGTTTAGTGACCTTGTCAGTGGTGATACAGCATCAGTCTGGGTTTATTTTATTGACATGCCATCAGGTTGTGGATTATAGTACAATCACGCTGCATGATTTATTACTTAGACATGCAAACCACTGTAAGCAG